CATAACCTAAGTACTCTACCCTAGGTTCAAAAAACTTGCACTTCTTTTCATTTACAGTTATACCATGATCTAGTAATCTAGAAAGAACTTGCTCAACTCTAAGTTTACAACTTTGTAAATCATAGCCTGATATGATTACATCATCAATGTAACAGCCTACACTGGGAATACCCTGAAGCACCCGATCCATTATCGACTGATAGATGGACGGAGCCGATGAAATACCAAAAGGTAGCCTAGTGTACCTAAACAAACCCAAATGGGTATTTATAGTCAAATAGGGTCTGGATTCCTCAGAAACCTTCAACTGCTGAAAAGCATTAGATATGTCTAGTACAGTAAACACCTTACCTTTAGATAAAGGCTGAAACAAATGCTCAATACAAGGTAACGGATAGTGCTCAGTTTTCAAACATTGATTTACATTCTTAAAATCACCACAAATTCTGACTTGGTCAGAGTTAGGCTTAGGCACAACAACTATACTAGAAGCCCATTCACTGTGACTATTAGGCTCGATAATTCCATTGGTTTTAAGTTTGTTCAACTCTTTTTCTACTACTTCTTTCAAAGAAAATGGAACAGGCCTAGCTTTAGAAAAAATCGGAACAGCATTAGGTTTGCTCACTAATTGAGCCTCAAAATTCTTAATTAAACCAAAACCTGGCTTAAACACTTCAGAAAACTTTTGCTTCAAATCGTTAACTACACTTTGGATAGTTAGGTTAGGAATATTTCCATTTACCAGTACCTTAGGCTTAGGCCTACTTACATCACAATTACCTAGGTTTACCTTACCCTGAACTGACACATTTGAGAACACATGTTCACTGCTATTTTCTTGAATAAAATTCAAGTTAAGCCCTAAGCTTTTAATCCAATCCCTTCCAATCAAAGTTGGAAGAGCCTCTTTAGTTTTGATAACTATAAGTGAAAGTGGCTTTGTTTCCCTAGGTCGACTAGGTTGACCTACATTTACAATTGCTTCACCTAAAACCTGAATTGGTTCCTTCATGGACGTTTTCAACCTCAAATCTGATTTACACAAAATATACTTGGGGAATAGTTTGTGAAAACAGGTTGCGCCATTACAGTGCGCCCTGCACCAGTATCAATTTCTGCCGTAACATTTATATCCTCAATACAAAGTTTAACCGCAAAGGGTTTTACGGAGCTTACAGAATTAAGCCCTACCTCTTCAACTGTAAAAAATTCAAGAGAAGAATCATTACTATCATATGAATCATTAACTAAATTCACACTTTTGTTTGCCTTATAAGGCCTACCTTCATTTTAGCATTAGCTGTACCTTTAAATTTATTCTTAGGTCTACTACTACTTTCCCCACTACTTGAATAGGTTGTACCCTGTACATTCTTTTTGCGACACACTTTAGCTAGATGACCTTTCTTTTTACATATGTTACAATTATATGACTTGTATTTACAATTAAACCAAACATGATTTTGTTCCCCACAACACGTGCACTTTTTATCCGCACCACTTTTGCGTTGGAACAGCTTTTGAACATTACCCGAACTGGACTCGTGAAACCCCCTTAACTCCCTGGAAGCTAGTTCCATAGAGACCGCAACTTCTACTGCCCTTGTAAAAGTAAGATCACTTTCCGTAAGCAGCTTACGCTGTATCGCCTCGTTGGTGAGGCCGCAAACCAGCCGGTCCCGCAGCGCCTCCTCCAGAAATGTGTTAAAGTTACACTGAGAAGCAAGTCTCTTAAGTTCAATGACATAGTTTGAAACAGATTCACCCGAGAGCTGATCCCTCTTGTAGAACTTGTAGCGTTCTGATATGAGAAGCTTTTTAGGAGCATAGTGGGCCTTAAGATGTTTGACAATGTCCTCTAATCCGAGAGAATCCACAGATTTAGGGGCTACTAGATTTTTAAGAACCCCATAAGGCTTAGGCCCTATGAGCGTTAAAAGAATAGGAGCTTTAGTGGCGTCCTTAACAGAATTAGCTTTAAAATATTGATCTACCCGCTCTAGGTACAGTTCAATGTCATCAGATTCTTCAAATTCTTTGATGTGTCCTAAAAACGACATGCTTGCAACATACCTGCCATCGGCGTCACCTTTTATTATCTTCATGCATCGGCCTAATTAACATCTAAAACATGGCCATGTACTATTAATTCATTTCCGCATTCGTCGCCATAATTGTTGGATAGAATAAGAACTTCACATTGGCCAAACAATACATGTTTATTAAAACATAAATAAGATAGCACATTTTGACGTCTACATCTTGAGAGAACCATTATATGAAGAAGGAGGAAATACAACCTTCTCGTTATCCTCGCATGTAACCAACATGACAAAGCAAATTGACTTTAAGTAAAGATCTAAGTATACATATATAACAAGCGCTTTTCGTTTGAAACGGGAACAACGATATATCGTTCCATCGCATTTTTCGGGAAATAGACGCGCACAACGATATATCGTTGCATAGCACTGAAAGGGTTAACTGATTTAAAATTATAAGCAGCAGTTTAGATAAGTACCTTTTGTTTGGGCCACCCTGTACAACCCCTAAGTTAATAGTGAACAGAGTCCCCACATTGCATTTCATAAAAAAGGCAAAAATGATAAAAAAATTTAAAACATTCCAAAACTTGTCAAAGGTTCTTTCTAAATCAAGTTACTTCAGAGCCTTTATTTAGTATTTCCTTCATATTTCTTTCTAAAATCTTTGAATCTGAACTTTCATACAATTTGGCTAATCAAGACTTATTTTGTAAAAAAATATTAGACCTAAAAACTGTAATGGAGGATGATCAGGATATGATTACTTTAAATATTGTAATGATACAAATTACTAACATTTTCTATATAATACATTGGTTTGACAAGTAAAACCAGTAACTGTAGATAAATTTAAGCATGTAACATTGAGCACAAGGCCTAGGTTCAAAGGATGTTGTGAGGGCAGGCTTATCTGAATGGCAACACACTATGTTACAAGAAATACAACACCTTTTAAAAGTTACAGTATGTTTCTTGTAGCAGAGTGGCCTCTTTCCCATTCTAGCAAGACTGCTTTCCTTACAAAAATCCCAAGTAAAATTAAAATGGTTTATAAACTTTATTTTATACTTTACCAACACATGATCTTCTTGATAAGAACTACCTTAACAATTAGAAATTAGAATCATGAAAAAGGAGTAGTAAGTAATATCTCATGTTCTCAACACACATCAATATATTTATTCTTAACAACAAACAACAATAAAACCTTTTTTAAAACATGATAAACTCACATTTATAATAAATCGCTAATTTTGTGTGTTTTAAATGCTCTTGTATTCATTGTTTGTACAATAAACATTTCTCATGGTTGTAACTAGTTAAGATACAACTATAATAATTAACCAGGAGGAAGAAATAATAAGTTTACATCCATAACATTGCAAACATTACATTACCATACAATAATGAATACATTTAGTAAAAGCCTGCTTATTGCATGATTAAAAAGTTAAGTAAAACATCCTTAAAAACTATTTCTTGATAAAGTAAAATTATTTCTTTACAAACAGTTCCCAATAAGCAGAGTTCCTAACTGTGTTAAGCTTTATATAGATTTTCCCCATATAAATTTTTTAAAGCTTTAATACTTATTATAACACTTAACTTAAAAAGTCTGCAAAAATAACAATACATTTATACTTAAATAGCTTTGATAAATCCAATAGGTTGGGATAACTTGATAGAAATAAATTACTGCTTCGCAAAGACTTCGAAAATTATACACAATTGATTTGTGCTTCTAATACATATCAGGTTAAAATGTTATGAGGAGAGATTCAAATAATCAAATATTCTACAAAAAATACATTAAGTTTCATGATTACATTAGCCTCCTTTATAAAATACTTGTATAATTAAAAACGATAAAAATTGTAAAATATTAAACAATTAAACACAGACAAGTATTAATGTCCAATAAAATAAACTATAAATAAACCTAGTGATATACAGGACGTACATTATTTTAATATAGAAAATACAAATTTATGTCTTAAGAAATGCAATATATCATATACGGTATTCAATATCAATCAAAAATAGTTTTGACAAACATTTGAGTGAAATTGCTTTAGTGAAATCCCAAGTGTTAAACACAAAAGTACCTGATGTAGGTTGACATAAATCCTACTGGTTATACTTTAATACTTTCTTTTTATTACTCCATTATAAAAAGTAGCATATACTCGTATTCTCTCTTAGTTAGTGAAAACATGGAACATTAAGGCTCACACCACTTTACAATAATAAAAGGTTGATTGCAAAAATGTAAAACTAAAAGGTGATACAAAGTAAATCAAATTAATTTTATTATTCAACTATTAATATTCTACGAAAAACCGTGTGCATTCCAGAAAAATGTAACACATCTAAACTTTCATCACATGTAGTTCCTTACCAATTACTAAAGTTAAAAAAAAAACATTTAAACAACTTAGAATAAAAGTGTGGCAGTATTTAAGCCACATACAACACTAAAATACTGAAATAATTACTTATCAATAAGTTTAATAAAATGGACGGCAAAATTCCAAATGTTGTAAGGCTTCACTAAAACGGTCGTATGGCTATGGTAACAGAAGTGTGAGAAATCAATGCACATTCAGGTGTTAGGCACTAGTCTTATGAGGCACTGAGGCGTATCAGTACATAAGGCCCATGTTGAAGTGTGGATCATCAGTAGGAGGTCCGATTCCACAGTAAACATCTGTAAAATACATTGAAAGATCTTAAATTTTCCGGGTTAAAAACATTACTTGAAGCCTGAAATTGTAAAAATTATGAGTAACCTTTAATTTGCTAACAAAAGGTCTTCAATTAATTAAATTCAATAATTAAAACAATCACACACACAAATTACAAAATAAAAAAATGTTTGTGATATTTTCGGTTGGTTACTATCACAGAATAAAAACCTAATCGTGAAAATTCACTGAGCTAGTATAACGCTGCGTTTGAATCTGCTATTTGATTTTCTACACCAAAATCTAAGAGCGCTGCTGTAGCTGCCTGGTGGGCTAGCCTAGGAATAGTCATAAATGAGTTGATTAATTTATTCCATCTTTAAACAATACAATATTGTGATTGATTCTGTAAAAAAATGATCAGCCTAATTTATGAATTCCATAGGCCAGACGGCAGTGACAGTAGCAAAGAGAACTCATATTACTACATTGTTGCTGCCAACTGGTCATATACCGTATACAAGAGAAATGTACAGTAGTATACTTTTTTAAAAATCACTGTGGCACGAGCACTCGTAGATTTCGGTGTAGACAATAGCAGATTCAAATGGAACATTTTTTTTTGCTCATTGAGATTTATGGGTTAGGTCTTTATTCTTGGGGCTACTAGACATTTCCAATGAAATTGTGACATGATTAATTTGAAAAAATACCATTTCAAGAATAACTTTAGACTTTCTTTGATCAAGAACAGTGTTAACGTCAATAGCCGTTCAAATTATGGACTTATTTTAATGGCATTTTTAGAATGATGTATGAGTCAAACATATCTGACTTTTTAACAAGAGCACAGATTAATTTTGCTTTTTATGTTGAGGTCACCCAATATAGTCTAACTGACCTACAAATTACGTCTTGGAAAGTACCAAAGAACTGTACAAGATAGCAAGATAGGTCACAAATTATAAGAAAGAAATTTTTTTTAGAAAGTTGGCGTGTGTAGAGAAATACAAGGAAGTGTTAATAAAGCCAAGATCAATAAGAAACTCCAAAACCACCAGACATTTTTCTTTCAAAAACTGTACAAATAGGTTGCCAAGGTAGATAGAAAATACTCTCAGTAAATGTTAATGACAAAGATATAGTTAATGACAAAGCTATATAAACTGAAAGTTCTAAGAGTAAAATTGGTTAATAATCCAGTGGAATCGTGTTATCTGGATCCTGTTGTTCTTAATTGATAGTAGCATTAAGGAGCACTAGGCCTATGGCAGCCTACAAGTTAACTAGCCTAACACTGACCTTTCCATCCTTAGCAAGCAAGGTGTAACATGGCAGGATCATATTGTGTGAAGGTACCTGAAGTGAACATGGAAATCTTAAAATGTATTAATATAATCCATACAGTAATCAAATAACATCAGTTTTAGATGTTTGCAACTGTAATTCCTTCTAAAATACTTAAACATTTTGGTGGCATAGCTTATAATGAACTGCATAAAACTTTAATGTATATACTTTTGGCAGTTCAGAAATTTAAGACACTTCACTCTTGTATAATATTGATGTCAAAGTGTTTAGGTTTTTTTTATGACACACAACTTAGTAGTAATGGTAGTAGTTATAGGTAGAAGTTGAAAATGGTTGCTTAAATGAATTTGACTTAGATAAAACATTCACATGCTGATAGCAAATTGCACTAATGTGATGAGATGCTACAGCACAAGTTAAACAACACTACAATTAGTTATATTTCAATATTAAAATAGCTAAGGCTTATGTAAGTTTTTAACTACTTCAACTCAGGGCTTTCTTAATGATTCTTTAGATTTGCTATTTTACTTCCTAATGAAAAACTACCTAGACCTATGAACAATGGCGGTTCTAGGGCCATGTCAAGGGGGGCTAACCCAAGCCAGGAGGGGGGTTTGGGGGGTCCTCCCCCTGAAAATTTGCTATTTTTAAAGCCTTTTGGTGACTTCAACGTCTTTAACTGTGTCTAAAAACCTGCCGTTGCATTTCTATTTTGAAATGTATGTTTAAATTTATATTTCAGGGTCCAAGGGGGGGGGGCTTTAGTCACTATAGCCCCCCCCCTTGGAACCCCCCCTGCCTACGAAATCTGAATACCAATCCAATGAAGATTGTACGGTTGTTAGATTATGTAAAAGATATTATTATTTGAGTTGTATTTCTTTATGATAGGTATATAACAGATAGTAAGTGCCATGTACTCAATCAACATCTTTAAAACCAAGGTCAAAGTAATGTAAAATAAAATAAAAATGTACAAATGAACACTAATAATTACTGACAGAAATCAACGTGGTA